AAACAAAAGAACTATGTCAATTGGACATGCTTTGATACTATATCTGCCCTTGAATTTTTACTTGATAACATTTTTGTTCGCTTTGGAGATTCCGTATATCGTCAAGTTATCGGAATTCCAATGGGGACTAACTGTGCACCACTTATTGCGGACCTGTTTTTTTATTGTTATGAGTTACAATTTATGACCCATCGAAACAACATCTGATACAAAAATTTAACAATACTTTTAGATATTTGGATGATATATTGGCTCTCAATAATGACGACTTCAGTATGTATACTAAAGAAATTTATCCTGTTGAACTTACTTTAAATAAAGCTAATACTAACAATGACCACTGTCCTTTCCTCGATCTTGATATCTATATCATTAACGGGAAGCTTAATACAAAAATTTATGATAAAAGAGATGATTTTTCATTTCCTATCGTTAATTATCCATTTTTAGATGGTGATGTTCCCTTGTCACCTTCTTATAGTGTTTATATATCTCAACTTGTACGATTCGCTCGTGTATGTAACAACGTATTAGATTTTGACGAGAGAAATTTATGTATTACTGAAAAATTATTACACCAGGGTTTTCGATATCATAAACTAGTCAAAACATTTACTAAATTTTATCATCGGTATAAGCACATCATTCGTAAATATAACTCAACATGCAGACATCTTATACGTTCGGGTATTTCACATCCAATCTTTTATGGTAATATTCTTTACAAAGCACAAAAATGTCAGTATTCACCTCAAAAGTCACAAAACCTTTAAACAGACTTATTAAGAAGGGATATAGTTACGATACTGTTGTCACGTCATTAAAGATTGCATATTTTGGCTTTAATATTGATTCACTTATAGGGTCTCTGCATCGGAATTAAACAAATTTATTCTAAAACCAGTTGTTGGCATGACACGGGTTATGTTCTTTTCATATGTTTTATGACGGTATAATACTAAACTCCTAACAGGAGGGATTGTGCCTGATATTCATATGATGAAGACATAATCTTTGAATCAGTTTAATTGAGGTCTGGAGCTGGCATGTCAGTAACTGCTAGTAGTCTGTTGTTATTTATGTATTATTGTCATTTTGTTTATTTTCTTTTGTTTTCTATTCTGACATCGGACTCGGACTTCTCTTATACTGAGTTTTACTGTGCGTACTATTGTGCGTTTGTTTTTTCTACATTGGCTAGAGGTATAGGGGGAGGGTTGAGATCTCAAAAAACATGTTAAACCCCGCCGCATTTTTGCGCCTGTCCCAAGTCAGGAGCCTCTGGCCTTTGTTAGTCTTGTATCATTTTTAATTTTAGTTTCCTGTGTATAATTTGGAGTTTAGTATGACGTCCATTATCACTGAACTAGTATACATATTTGTTTAGGGGCCAGCTGAAGGACGCCTCCGGGTGCGGGAGTTTCTCGCTGCATTGAAGACCCATTGGTGGCCATCGGCTGTTGTCTGCTCTATGGTCGGCTTGTCGTCTCTTTGACACATTCCCCATTTCCATACTCAATTTTAGAATTGCAGAAATGATCCCCCCCACCAATTCTTTGATTTATTCCAAATATCAGTCAATAAGGCCTTTTCAAAATAATAATTTGGAAAACAAATGTTGTATCTCCAAAACTGAATTCCTTTACTCTTAAAGGTTTGAAAAATAAAACGACATAAATTTGTAAAAACGGTAATAAATATTTTCAAAGGAAATTTTTACTTTAACAGTACACAGTATTATGTATATAAAATTGATATCGACAGTAGATTTTTTGAATTTCATTAGAAAAAGTTGATATGAAACAATATAAGTCACACCCGACTATTTTCATGTTTGAAGGTGTGGACAGAAATATCGAAATAACTACGAAAACCATTATGTCTTTTAATAAAAACCCATAAATTAATGACAATTATTGGAATCTGATGTATAATTTGTAGTATATTCAAAATAAGGAGCTGTGTCATGATTGTCTATGAGACAGCTATCCATTTAGGACCAAATGACATAGATATTATGAACTTTTTCTCTCTGTGCATATGACCAACACTACAGAATTTTCCAAACCCTTCTGTATGCTTGGAAAATTGTGTAAGCTTGGCAATTTGCTCTTTTAACCTATTTAAAGAATGAAATTATGACAAATAAAATCCCAAAACAATCTTGATGTATTACAAGATTAAATACTATATATAACATCCTCCCTCCTCCCCCAACAAAAGATGAATGGTCAGTGCCTTATTCTAATCTGCTTTTAAAACTTATAGATGCATTTTAGTGTCTCCGGTGTCAAGATCAAAAATGAAATTATCACAAATATAATCACAAAACTATCTTGATGTATTACCGCCATATTTTGCATACAGAAACAAGAAACACGTTGTTTTGTCACTCATTGCGGTATTTATTTCCCCCTAGTTTTCAATGACAAAAACTATGAAACAAAATTTGTAAAAAAATATTATATCAAACACTCCCCCTACCCCCAACAAAAGATGAATTTTCGGTGCCTTATTTCAATCTGCTTTTACAACTTATAGATGTATTTAAGTGTCTCCGGTGTCAAGATCAAGGAAAGTAAATCATATGTCAAAGTTCAAAATGTGGTCAGATCCATAATACGTTCTTAGTTATACACACGACCTTGTGTAAGTCTGCTCATTTACATATCTTATTAAGTATAAGAATGAAATAATCTCAAATAACACCCCAAACCCCCAACCTACCGCCCAAAACCTGATGTATGACAGCAATTATTCTTTTTGTCATATACTTGTTATATTTGCTTTCTCACTGTGGTAGCATACATACTAAAGTCGCTCGTTGATTATCGTTTACGAATCCACTACTTCTTATCAATTCTCTACTACGTAAATTATTGTGTTTGCATATTTAGATGTTGTTTAAATAAATAATCTGACTTAATATATATTTAAAATGAAAATCAACTTAACTGCACTTAAAATATTTGAAATTTTAAGAATAATTAACATTCAGTGTTAAAACAATTACCTTTTGGAGGTCCCTCAATATAACTTGTTTGTACTTATGTTTACCTATATGGTCAGTTACGAAACGTCGATTAATTATTTGATGTACAATTAAACGATTTATTACATTCTTATGTATGTATTTTTTGGCATAAGTACTACAACTTTTTATATGCAATATAGTATACATGTATATAAATATAAAATATGAGAAAAAAAGATTGAACGGTGTTTTTGACCGGTCATGGAATAACGATAGGACAAATTACTCTACAGGGCAAGCGACTGATAACAGTGCTTTGTACAAAAGATGGTTTTAGTCAAAACGCAAAAAAACCTCTCTTGTCCAACTTATTACAAATAGAGACGTAAGAAACATGATGCTAGTCTTTTGTTAAGAGGGAATAGCGAGGTTAATCGTTATTTAGTTTTCAATTAATTAAATCATAGTTGCTTTTAAATTTCCAACTCATAACCATTGATTCTTTTAAGACAGAAATGCGCCATTATGGTCAATGATATAAGACAGTTCACAAAACGTACCATAATGGTTGATCATATAAGACAATTCACAGAAATACACCATAATGGTCGATTATATAACACAGTTCACAGAAATGCATCATAATGGGCGATAATATAAGACAGATTAAAGATATGTACCATAATGGCCGATGATATAGGACACTTCAAAGAAACACATCATAATGGTCGAAACTATAGTTAATTACTACTGTTAACAAGTGAATTATCAATTCTGAATAGCATTGCGCATGAGAATACAAATCGATGAACAGAAAATTTATCTAACACAACACTTTATATATATTTGGCGTTCGAAGACTACTGAAAAGTATTATCGAAATCAGTTGTATGTGAATATATGTTGCGTCGATTTTTCATAATTTGCCGTTCATGACGTCACAATCAATGAAGTTGTTGCGTCACGGTTAAGGCCCTTCTACGCATTTTCGAGAAAAAAAAAACAATTTTGGTCACATTTTAGATATTTTTTAGACCTGCAAATAAAAAGCACATACAAGAACCAATGAAATAATTTACGATGTCTGTATATATGAGTAACACCTTTCACATAAATATGTTTATGAGACTTAATAATTCCCGTTGACCAATAACAAATGGAGTGTGTAAGTGTAAAAATATGTAAATTTCGTCATTTGTGTATATAACTTGGATTTTTTACTATCATGCGACCGTAAAATTTCTGTAAATATTCTCTAATTTGAAGAGATTGCAGTTTGTTTTGTAAATATTTACATAGTTACACATAACAAATACCTTTAAACTACAATATCCTGATTGTAACACTTTATTTTTTAGGCCAAAAATACATAGTCGTGTTCTTCAATGCACGAATGTAGCGTGATTGACATCAAGCATATATTAGATGAGGAACAGAAATAAACGCGATATCCTACTGCTTTTAATTTTTCATGAGAGTTAAATTAAATCTCTGAAAGCTAAATCCTTTTGTCTTATTTTAATATCAGACTTTGAGATAGATAAAAGCAATAAAAGCGGTATCATTTGGCGTTAATTTATTTTTGTGAGACATTGAGATGAAGAGAGGCAAAAAAACGCCCAAATTTTGTGCTTAGAAACTTTCATGGTAGCATATTAAATTAGTGTTGTGAATTGATAAACCATATGCTTTCTTTGCAACTGCATATATTTGTTAGGACATATGTGTATGATCGTAATTATTTACAAAATGATTTAAAAAACAAAGACTGAGAAAAAAAGCACAAATTGAGCAGGATCTTTCGAAGTACCTGAGATCACCCTTTGTTTTGGTGGGGTTCGTGTTGCTCAGTCTTTAGGCTTTCATGTACATAAGCGTTTTATAAACTGTTGTTTGTCTTTCATAGTTTTAGTTTTTTGCCAGGATTTTGTCTGTCTCTCTTTGACTGGTGAGCTTTAATTTTCCCTTCGGTATCTTCCGTTTTTTATCCAGTACAGAGCAAAGAGTGTTATAAAATGAAAGAATATTTAATAGTAGTGATAGTTTAATACATATAACGCAAGCATAACAAGAAAGTTTTTACAAGAAAAAATCAGTATTATAGATAGCTTAGTAAAATCATAACAAGGTACCGAGAATTTGAATGTGTCAGTGTACCTTCTCTTCGGAAACAAGCTTTAGCCGTTTGAAATTATTATCTAGAGCATTCACACCACCGGATGTAATAGACCACGTGGCTGCAGATCGAGACGGAAATAATGGTGTCCGAGATGAAGTTCTTTGATTTGACTTCATTTCCATATTGTCATGTATTGGTCCAGTTACCGATAATATGACTGGCAGAACAAAAATCGTATGGAAAACACTCAAAAGGATAACAAACAAGACAATTTTGAAAAACGATGTGAATATTTCGGACCGTGAAAACAGTAGGATGACAATACTTATCACTGTAGAAATTGCTGAATTAATAATCGTACCGCTAGTTTGTATGATAGCATCATTAACTTTACCCTGCCTGTCAAATCTTTGAGAATGTATAAAAGACTTGCAGAAATAGGCAACGAAGTTAAAGGAAAATCCTGTACATATTATGACGTAAACTATTGTGAATAAATTTAGATTTAGATTCCAGATTGACATTAGACTGAAGACTCCCACTATGATTGAAGCAACAGTCAAAACCAGAAACACAATCAATATTGGATCGAGTATCAATATAAATGAAACTAATGTGCATGCTGCGAAAGTGAAGCCGATTTGCAAGATTGCTTTGGAAAGAACCGATTCATTTTGTTCAAAATATACAAATTGAGTGCTAAACGGTAGGACATTAAGAGATGAATTTCTTGCTATTATGCGCGATTCTTCCAACAGCAGCTTTTGGTCTCTAGGACTTTTTATATCATTCGTCATCACATAGAATCTTGAAAATAAAACATGTGTTTTGTTGCTGTCGAAAACAATATCATTTTTGAACATCGGATTGTTTTTAACAAATAAATGTAGTTTCTCAATAAATTCGATCTCAGTAATATTTTCGTTTAAGTACGAGTCGTTAAATTCTTTAAGCCAATTGATTTCAAACTTCTTGTCAAAAAAAGTATTTTTTTTGGCAGATTGAAGCATGTCGTCTACTTTTAAGTGTACATCAGAACGGCTATAATCAAGGTGACCTTGTATATTAAACGACACTATTGTTGTCATTCCAAAGTTCTCCTTTTCAATGTTGTTAAATTGATAAGAAATCGAGTCTTGACGAAGCACATCGGTAAATTGAGACCCTACTCCAAGATTCGTTGTACTCCAGATAGAAAATGTAATATACCCCAAGTAAAGGAAGAGAATAATAACCTTAACTGGTATGTTAAGTAAACATTTGGGTAATGTTCTAGCTGGAAGCATTTCGACATAACTTTGGAGATCATCTGACTTTTCAGGTTCGTGGCCACTACAGCAGACTATTGTCAATTTGTTTCTATAATGAGCCGTTTTCATCTGCTCAGCAGTATAGACAGTCTGACAGGTAATGCAATGCATGGAACCGGCCACTCGTCTCTCGTGTAAAACTGCACAGGCTAGGACAAAAGTCATTTGGTTGAAGAAGCATAGGAAAACTGCCGAGCCTGAAAATAAAGTAAACGTACATGTTCGGTTTTTAAATTTAAATTAAACAACAGACATGATTTATTGAGCTACACAGGTAAAGACATATCATTTTTAATGTAAGCTGATTTTCGTTAGAAATATTGTTGAAATCTTTTCAGAAATGGTTATACGATCTGAAAAAACAAACTTTTTGTTAAAACTCGCAAGGCTGTTCAACAAACAATTGAAAAAGAAGAAACAAAGGAAGAAAAAAAACAAAAAAACGAATAACAACTGGCACGTATAAAGACTTATTTTTTACCCAATCAAAACTTACTATTCTTAATTGATTTTTTCTCTTTTCTATATTTACGATTCTACAAGTTGATATAGAAATAATCGTTGATTGCTGTTCTTGTTCTGATTTTGCATAAATTGGGGTCTTGGAATTAAAAAAGAGGCCAAAGATATATACGGGTCAACAAAAATTATAAGTAAAAAAACAGACAATACGTTGTTCAAAAGAAAAACAACGAGAAAAGATACAACATTCGACAATACAATACAGAGAAAACTGAGCAAAACGAACTCCACCAAAAAACCGGGGTTAGTCTCGGGTGTTCTGAAAAGGTAATCAAATCATTCGCAGCTAGTGGTACCCGTAAAGAAGCGGTCAATCGAAACAAGCCGCCAAAGCTTTATATAAATAAACCCCGTTTGAAAATTCTGTTATGTTATATGCGAAGGCGAAGAATACAAATATCAGAATTGTTTTATTTTCATTATTTATATTAGGAATACATGCATAATAAAACTGTATGATACTAATTCTTCTGTTGTATAGAATACGTAGATCGGCGTTCCTCTTTGATATACTTTTTATCTGAATGGGTGATATCAAAATAGAGAATAGAGAATATGCACATGAAAAATAAAAACTTATTATATTACCTGTAAAAAAACAAAAATTTCGAATGACTGTGAGATCTGTCATCAAAGCACCTATCAGCAAAGCCGTAATATCTGTCAGAGAAGAAATAGTAATGGAGACCCCGGTATCTCTCATTGCACTGCCGATTCTCTCCTCTACTGCTCCCTTTACAGGAGCTCGGTTAAGACCAGAGAGGAGAACAAACAGGTTGTATAGTCCTATTCCTATAATGCAAAAATGTACATAAGATACGATAAGATAAGAGCCTGTAATTCAGTGGTTGTCATTGGTTGCTGTCTATCTTATTTGTTTTAAGTGATGGTTTCTTTTTTTACGTGGTTTACATTTTATCATTTCTTGCTATTCGGTATGGGTTTTGGTCATTGTTGAAGGTAGAACGGTGTTCAATAGTTGTTTACAACAACTTAATTTTGTCTCTAGTGGAAGTCTGTCTCATTGGCAGTCATACCACATTTTCTTATTTTTATATTACATGTTTTCACTACAAGAACAATTTAACAGTAATATAAAATAAACGTTACCAAAAAGTAGTACCTGTTGAAAAGTCCAATGTTGTACACGGTAATATTGAAAAAAAAATCAGTATTTAAATAAATTGTATCATAATAAATATAATTACATTTTACCTATTCTTAGAGTTTTCGTTTATTTTTTAGCACCCCCTTTTGGTAGTATAACCCCAAAATAATTCCTAACAACAAGCCTGTCGCAATCAGTCTGCGAAAGTTCATTAAAATGACTAAGAAAAGTACCTGAATAAATTCATTGCCAGTAAATAAATATAAAAACAAACGAAAAGGCTAAATTGTATAAAACATTACATAATACATCATTTTTTTAAACGAAATCCGTTTTAGAACCTTTAGCTGATTATTCTTACCAAGGATTATAAAAGGCATGATACTGCCAATGTTAACATATTCCACTCCTATAACAGCACAGAAACCAGATGCACCAAGTATGGATATGACAGTTGAAAGAACACCAGCGATTCCAAGGAGACCTCGTTGAGTTAAACAATTCCCGCTGACAGTAGCTAAAAATGAATACATTGCCATCGCAAGGAATACCACGACAAAGAATTGTGGATCCCAAACTGTATTTCTACCAATATCAGTTGCCATGGTTTCGGAGTTAGATACTATAAATTTAATTGTATTGTTCTTTAACTGTAACAGATCATGAACAAATTGTTTCGACCACTGAACTGATAAATCCTTGTTTACTGACGTGTCCTGCTTCAAATAGTATGTCATTCGAAGCGATCCTGCTGATTTAAGTACTCCATTTCGAACTGTAACTTTTCCAAATTGTTGATAACTCATATGAATAATCCCTTTCTGATCTTTGAAGTATGGATACGTTATGTTATTCGCTTCAAAATGATCCCAGAAATAGTCCTCAAGATACCATGACCCTAGAATGAAACATTTGCCATTGTTTTTGACACAAAAATCTTCAATAGTATGAATTTTCATATCTGACGACTTGACTTGAATGTTCATGGCTGTTTTATGGAATTTCGAAATTTCATTTTTGAAACTTTTTGCAATAATATTGTCATCCACGCTGAACACCACACTTCCGTATATTTCATCACCATTTAGCTGATGGCAAAACATATCATCAAAATCGCTATTAGTTAGGAAGGATTTTACTTTCTGTGCATCCATATTTGCCTCACTATGACGTGGAAGATAAGATGTGTCATAATCATCAAATACCTGCATCCATTTGATATTTATTCCCAATAGGGCATTTAGAAAAACCGATAAAATAATCGTAGGTATTGGATTTCTACTAATGACCTTTCCATAGATGCTATACAGGTTTCCGATTCGTCTTCCAGCTCGTAGATAACAACAGTTCATTCTTGATAAAAATATAAAAATATCGTAAGTTAATATTATGTACTAATGTGAGTTGGAACGTATAGAATTGGCTTAGATTTAAAATTTTCTAATGAAACAAAAATCTTAAATGTACATTTCTAAAACATCAGTTGGCTGATTAATGGCGGTTTGCACACATTATAAATGATGTGTCGCGTGCACATCTATCTAAAATCGTCATTATTGTAAATAAAGGTAACAGTAGTTTACCGATATTCAAATCTCGTATAAGTCAGACCAAAATCTAATAAGATAGAACAAAAAAGTATCGTTTAAAACAATATTAAAGAAAACAATATTGTTAAAACTAATTTCTGTTTGGTTTAATATTTCCCAGTCTGGCAGCGATGTGAATCAGATGCGAATACCAAAATTTCCAAGGTTTAATACTAAAATGTAAAATTCAGATATGAATACTTTGTTGGCCTTGCCCTGTTTTCTGCTCTTTGGTCGGATTGTTGTCTCTTTGACACATTCCCCGTTTTCATTTTCAGTTCCAGATAGGGTAGGAAGAGACAAATAGTACTTAGTAAAAACCTCTCTATTTCTACAAAAACGTTCGTTTATTGTCTTTCGAAGGTTGTTGATTACAGATTAATTCTGAAAGCAAAAGTTGCAGCTATCTCTTTGAAGGTAATATACAGGCCATCATAGTTTTTTCAATTGTCATTGGACGTCTCTTTCCCAAATGACCACGGGTATGATCAGTTGTAATAACTTCATTTCTTTGTTTGGTATATTCGTCGTAATTGAATAACACGACGAAAGCGACTAGTGGAGCAGCACTATTTAACCTTCATCTCAAGTCTTTCTGTTAACTTGGTTTGACTTCTTAATGAATTATTAGATTTAAACATTGGTAAAAAATGCAAAAACAAAAATATCGAACTCCAAGATAAATTTAAAAGGAGAAGTCCATAAAGCGTGACAAAAGATAAACGTTAGACTACATCAACCAATGGAACGACTGGAAAACAACTGTCATATTCCTAACATGGTAAATTACTGTTGCCTCTAATTGATGTATTTGATTGTCCGTATGTATCTTTTATTTATTTTGCTGAAAATGCATTAAATTCACCCATTTTTCGCCAATGTGTGTTATTTGTTATTTCATGTAGGACGTACTTTAGAACGATTTATGAAATTTGTTTTAAATTGATAGGACTGTATACCTAATGTTTGATGTTCCACAAAAGCAGATTAAATTCAAAATATCTTATAGTTGTTGCCAATGTATCAGGACGCACTTTAAAAAGACGGCATACCTTACGTATGATGCTTTAGATAGAAAAAATGATTCAATCTGAAGAAACCATGAACTAGTAAACGAATGTTGGTCTTAAACGGTCGATTTGATCTTAACATTACCTGAAAAGTCTGAGCAATAAATTATTCAGTCTGTTCAGTCTTTCGGTCAATTTTCAGACTTATCTGCTGCGGTAAATTCAAAACTGTTCACTGACAGGCAATTCGCTTGCAGTCAATTTAGTACTGTTCAGTATCTTTCCACACAATTCAGATGTTAATGTGTACAAGTAAATAACAACTACTGAACAGTCTGAACATAGACTGAATCGATCTTAATTGACTGCAAGTCGATTGTCTGAAGTGTATTGGATTTACCGCAGTGGATAAGTCTCAAAATTGGCTAAAAAAGGTAAAAAAACAAAAATACCGAACTCCAAGGAAAATTCAAAACGGGAAAGTTCCTTTTCAACTGGCAAAATCAAAAGCTAAAACACGTCAAACGAATGAAAAACAACTTTCATAATCATGACTTAGTACAGGCATTTCCTTATGTAGAAAATGATGGACTAAACGTGGTGTTATAGCTAGATGAAAGACTGAAAATGACTTTATAATTCATTGTTAAGTCTTTGTAGGCTATTAAAATCAAAATGACCGTTTCAGATCGAAAATGGGTTTACTGGTGATAATGTTCAAACATTTTGCCGTCACCTATATACATGGTTCCTCTTTAAATTAATTGCAACCTATGTCAGTTGGTACGAACTAGAAAATCTATTCTATTTGATATATTCATTGTTTAGAGGTGAGGTGTTTATGTTCCCAAACTGGGTGATATTTATGAGAAACTTTGGGAAGTCCGTGACAAAAACATACATCATATAGAAATAACAAAAGGTTGACATGTACTTTGTTATCATAACACATCAAAAACCATGTCCCTATTGTCATGATAGTTAAAAACTTATTTTCTTTAGAATTAGATTGGTCATATTAAGCTGAGTTTTCGTAGAAGATAAGATAAACAAATAAAATAAATAACCATTTATATTCGAGCAATTCCAAAAACGTAACATTAAGAAAAACCCGTACATTACTTGACAAGAAATTCTTGGATCGTTATTTCATTGAAACACTTCGCTTTAGGTCGTAAAATATTTCCATACCTTATCATGAACAAAAGTTAATATAGGGATATGTCAACTAGACACATTTTAACAACAACAACACAATTTAGAGAAGACATCTATAGATTAACATACGTTAAACAATTACTTTTCCAAAAAAGTATAGGAAGAGGCCTATTTATACTGTATTTAGTTATTAAAAAAAGTTAAACAATATCACATTTGCTAAAAGGTTGTGGATTTGACATTTTGGAAACTATACTGACAATTTCAACTTGCACTTCAAGTATTCGATCATATTATTTTATGTAACCATAATATTACGAAACAATTTACGATATTTAAAAATTTGAAAATGGTGAATTATAGTAATGAATTGCTAGTTGCTTAAAACTTGACGTAAGGGATCCAAAGCCTTTTACATCGAGTTATGCAAAAAGTGAAAATAAGAAATAGAATAAAATAAGAAGAGCGCTAGTTATAAAATGTGTTTTTAAAGAAATGCATTACATATACGCTTTAATTTATGAGGTATAATTTTTTCAAATTTATTATGTCAAATGAAGAACAAATATTACGGTCATAAGAAATACGCAATGCGTTGCAGTAGTTTATAAGTAATAAATTATTCGTTGCATATTTAAACATTTGTGCTTAAAACTTGATGCAGTGATCCGTAGCCATTTATCTCGATTATAAAAAAAAACAAACAAAAAAACCAAATGGTACGTTCTAGTTATTAAATGTGTTCCTATAAGAGAATGCATTATCCACTTTATACCAATATAACTTCTATTTGTGATGAATATCTTAAAACAAATTATTATGTCAAATTTAAGAGAAATAACACAAAAAAAAGAAAAAAAACAGAATGTTAAACTATAGTACTAAATAAACTCATCATAGATACCAGGCTTAAACTTTTGTTCGTCAGACATCAGACGCGGTTTCGTCTTTAAAAGACACCAGTGACGATTGAATAAAACAGTTGAAAAAGCCAATAAAATTTGAAGTTGTAGAGCATTAAAGACCCAAAAAATTAGTCGTTACGCGATTAGACCTTTATGCTTAAATTTTGGTGCAAGAAACAAAACCCATACACCTCGATTATAAGAAGAATATATATTTTTGAATAGCAGAGTGTTAATAACTAATGGTTTTCTTATAAGATAAAACATAACATATGCTCTTACAAAAACAAAATCGATCTGTCTCAAATCTAATAAGTCAAATGAAGGACTACATGTAGTATCATATGGACTTAAGTTTAGAATATTCGTTTATATAAGTGAATGTGCGATACCTTTATCTTATGAAAGATATTACTAATAAAAGTAAAATAAGATTTAAATTACTCCCCACGTTGCATCCTATTTTTAATATTGGACAGTGTTATGTGCAATGAATTTTAAATTTATATTTTATATAAGTGAGTTGTCGGTACACTTGTATAATCTATACGTTCACATGTTTTCAATGTTACCTTAATCTTACGAAACACTCTGCGGTCCCCAAAAACATATGATAGGATGTCAAACTAAAATACTAAATAACTCGTAGCACGTTTCATCCTTTGTGCTTAAAAAAACGTGGTTCAAGAAATCCATTAACCCGATTATGAAAGTTATACAATTATCAATTTACATTATGGAAATTGTGTCACGTCGGAAAATTAAAAATTGTATAACTATCATCATAACCATGACAAAACGGAAATAAAAATACCATTTACATAATTGATAGGTCTTTTTTACCTTGAAGTCAGCATTTAAATAATAACTCATCATGAAGTCGCTTTCAGATGCTATATTATACGAGAGTCTTGATTCGGGGGAGGAGCTTTGTGTTTGCATTATATGATTTGTTTGTCCATTATTTTCTTTTTTTGTATATCATAGCACCTTTTGTTTTTTTACTTTTATATTCTGTTTGCTCATTTTCTCTATATTCTATTCTCTGTCCATTAATCTCTATTAATTTCTACTACACTTCGAGAAAATGACACTTTTTAATATCAAAGCACACAGAACATCATTATATACGTACATTGTGCAGATCTCTTGGTACATACTAAAAAGATGTTTGTCATATCAAAGAAATATTCAATTTACAGAGACAGTTGCACAGATCCATAAGAAAATCTCGACTGGTGAAGTACCGGGTCCTTTAATGTATATTTCCCTAAATACGTATTCTGATATAAAATGAAAATAACACTTTATATAAATTTTGTACGTATGAAGCATTTCTGGGTTGACATTCACCGCTCAAAATCCTGAATTTGAAGGCGAATTATATGTTGTTCTTGAATACGAGTGGAGCAAAATAACCAAAAGGGACCTTACAGTTATAGCCAAACCCATCTAAGGTCATCTTTGGTTGAGGGAGTCTGAACCTTTGTTTCTTATGGTTTTAAATACCCCTATCACATTAGAACCACGATCCCGCTACGACTTCAATTATGAAAAAAAGTCGTAGTAAGAGTGGACGTGCAAAGGTCTTCATGATCGTGGAGGTCCACGACCAACTTTGAACATGCTCAAAACATTCGTAGTGCAGTCGTGGCCACAAAAAGTCGTAGTAGAATTATCGGAAGGTCGTAGTAAGGACGTAGTAAGATCGGGATGGGCGTAGAAGCATTGGAAATGTAGAATCGTATTGAAAACGTGGTGCAATCGGGAGGCCAATGGAATAGACTATCCCGATTTCACTACGTCTTTATTACGATTCTACTATGATATTGATACGATCATACTACGATGAGGAAGACATAAATACGCTGCTACTACACGCTTGTCGTCTTTATTACGACCTTATTACGATATTACTTCGTCATAGCCACGATAATTGCATGACCTCATTCTGTTGATACCTCTACTTTTAGCAATACTACCTCTAAGTGATTTTGATACCTTTGGTTGCATGTTTTCTCAAGGAAACTGGTGTGTACAATGGGAAAGTCAAGATATTTATAGAGACGAAGAGAACAATGTAGTGGAAACGTGGTGGAGTCGTGGTTCGATCGTAGTAGACTCGTTTTGAGATCGTAATGCGATCGGGAAGCTCTCGGTAGAACCATACAGGGATCATGTCAGTCATGGTAAGGTCTTATTAGTCGTAAAAAAGAGCGTAACAAGATCGTAACTAGAACGTGTTACTATCGTAGCATCTTATCAGGATCATAGCAAGGTCATGGTATGAACGTGAAAACTATGAAACATAGAATATTGAAGCCGTCCATCGTAAAAAGAGCGTGACAAGATCGTAACTAGAACGTGTTACTATCGTAGCATCTTATCAGGATCATAGCAAGGTCATGGTATGAACGTGAAAACTATGAAACATAGAATATTGAAGCCGTCCATACGACGATCTCACCGCGATCTTATTTTTTTATAGATCGTAGTGGAATCTTCATGGCCTTGGTCTAGTGTGACGGGTGCTTTAAATCTTTTCAATGAAGGTATGTCATAAATCATGTCAGTTACGCTAAACTAACTATTGAGCTGATGATAGCCTCCGCCACAAGCTATCTTACAGCAGCGATTTCGACCCAGTACTATGAAATAAACATTTAAGAAATTTGGTGCGTCCAAAGCGTTTCTGCAATGATATTCACCAGGAACACTCAAATAAAGGAATGCATCAATGTTTGTTATAATTTGTATTTCTCGCAAGAAGCTTTCTTTCAACAGATTGAGACAATGTCAACACGACAAGCATCTCTTTCTGTTCATGCATCATGTGTCATGAACTATAAAAGCTTTTTTCCGGTCAAACGTATGCAATTTGAAATATTTAAATAAATTTGTGTTTATAAAAAAAATTTAAAAAAACATTATCAAAGATACCAGGGAACGGGTGTTTATAATGCTAACATTTCAGTAAAATGTTTTTAATTAATCAATGATAATTGAAAAATGGTAATAGACAAATGTATGAGTACAAATTAGTTTGTAATTAATTAATTCACATTATATGAACAAAGAATTATAAAAAATATATAAATATAAAATAATAAAATAGCAGTACTTACGTTTCTTTCTTCTTTGAGTTTTTCAAACTATTTCTTATCGAGGACTAGACGATTTTAAGTTTTTCTTCGTATATAAATAGATCGAAGGGGAAAATTAGAAGACACCTAATGTAAAACGTCGTCGACTTTTGTTGACTGAACTTTAAATTTTGTGATCAGGTATTTAATAGATTGAAAGGTGTTTGAAAAGATTTAAATTTTTACCGCAGGTATCTGAATCTTTTTTAAAACTTGTTATACACCACTTCTGACTTTGACCAAAGTTGACCTTGAGTTTTTGGCATTCTTGTTTAGGTCCCTTTTGATCATATATAAGTCCTTCGGTATTCAAATTCTTAAACCTTATGGGCTTTCAATCTTTGGGGTTTGAGCGTGTTTGAAAAAAGTAACTACAGAAAAGCGCTTTGAACGTTCACAATTTTTAAAGTCTTATTTCAATTTAGATAATTAAGTATTTACAAACACTATAGTTGTGAATTCAGTGTTAATTATAGTAAAAAAGGCGAGAGAAAAATATAACTATTTTGTGAACTTTCGTGCATTTGTCATATATCTCATTTGCTGGTTTATGCAAAAAATACACGTAACTACGAAGGATTTCACTGCGCAAAACAAGTGATCTGCTGTAACCTTTATCAGGTACCGTCAAAACCAAAAGTTTGGAAATCAAAACAATAATCACGTTTAAGTTTCAACCGAAACAATCCTGCACATGATGGTTGATTGATTGATTGATGAATCGTTGGTGTTTAACACCAACCTAGGCACTCTTGGCTATATCGTGGCTGCCATTTATATTTGGTCGAGGAAGCTGCGGTGCCCGGAGAGAACCACCGACCTTCGGCAAGAAAACTGACAATCCTAGTCAATTAAGATCGGATTCGAATGAACCTGCTACGTGCAGGGTTAGAAATCACAGCATCAGTGTTGACATACTATTGATACGGTAGTATACTTAGAGCACTTGGCCACCGATGCCTCGCACACAATAGGCAAAACCGTATAAGATTATCTCTGCATGAAAGAGTTATAACCTTAGTTTTGAAACAATAACATTAGGAAAATCCTAAACCATATACGAACTTTTGAATGCTGATTTAACCAAAAAAAATTATTACCGATCCCGGGATCATACCAACAGCAAAGCCCTCGCTGCTATGCATGTTCGTATCCTCATGGAGTATCATTCCACCAGCAACCGTACCAACCTAATGGTGTTAATCAAATCAGCATTTAATAGGCCAGACGCTCGACTTTACAACTCGTCACTGTCGCTCGCATTTAAGTTTGGTATTGATGTCCGTGCGTACGGCAATTGTCATTTTTGCAAAAGTGCAAAACTTATATTTAAACAAACAAAATCTGACTGTTAATGACGTCTTTAAACTAAATCCTTTGGATGTTGGATATATAATGTCTATTCATAGTCTAAGATACATGATTTTTTATAAGTTATTATTGACCTTGAACTAGCTGCCAGTTACAGCGAGTACTCTCAGATCTGTTCTTTGTGTCTTTTTTGTTGTGAGAGATATATAAATTACCTGTCATGTCCGGTCTGTGTTTTTGTTTGATGTTTTTCTGTCTTGTATCGATCTGATGAGTTAAGCCCTTTTCAACTGATTTTTTTACAGTTTGTTCTCATGTTGTACTGATACACCACTGTCCCAGGTTAGGGGGATTGTTGGCGTTTTCAAACATGTTTAACCCTGCACCATTCTATATGTGCCTGTCCCAAGTTCGGAGCCTTTAACTGAGTGGATGTCGTTTATTTTTGTTTTTTTGTTTTTTGTTTTTTAGCTGTTTCTCATATTTGGATTTTGTTTATTGTTTTTATAGTTTGTTCTTGTGTTGTGTGGTCACACCACTGTCCCAGGTTAGGAGAGGGTTTGCCCTTTAAAATATGTTTAACCTCGTCGCATGTGCCTGTCCAAAGTCAGGAGCATGTAGTCCAGTGGTTGTCGTTTGTTCATTTCTGTCATATTTGTTTTCCGTAAATTGTTTTGTTATAAATTAGGCCGTTAGTTGTCTCAATTGAATTGTTTCATATTTGTCTTGTCGCGGCCATTTATAGCCGACTCTACGGTACGGATTTTTCTAATTGTTGAAGGCCGTAATGTGCCTATTATCGCTTACATCCACTTTAAACTTGTGGATAGTTGTCTCATTGGCAATCATACCACATCTCCTTATTTTTATACAAAAAATTGCTATAACACCATTTTCTTCATTTAAACTCATGTCTGATTAAGGGTGTGAAGAAATGAAAACAATACTTTATAGATTTCATACGTCCGAAGTGCTTTGCTTGATTTGCCTTCACCAGGAACAATAAAAGCCGAAGATTTGAAAGCCAAGGATGTTTACGAACCGAAACAGCTGCAGAGCTATATGACCAAAATGGACACTGGTCCTCAAAATAATAGCCAAATCCATCTAAGATCATTTTTGCCTGAGGAAGTTGAAACCTTAGTTTCTTAATTTGTGTAATTTGTGTAACGAACGGTAATGAACTCGTCAAAAGTGATAATAAAATAAAAAGCATGGACCAATTCAACTCCGTTTATCCCAGCTCAAATCCATACGAAAAGCTATGTCATCAAAGAGGGACGAAAGATACCAGAGGGACAGTCAAACTCATAGATCAAAAACAAACTGACAACGCCATGGCCAAAAATAAAAAGACAAACAGACAAATAATAGTACAGATGACACAACATAGAAAACTAAAGACTAAGCAACACGAACTGCCTTTGTATGAAATCTGCTCATGTTTTAGATGTCATTATAGAATTTCGTAAGAATCCCTTTTTCGGAGTGTCAGACTTCTAGTCATTTCTTTAAAGAACTGTTTTGGATTTGACAATAAAAACAATGTAACAAAATAAGTAAATTCTAGATCTGAAGTGAAAAATGAAGGTTAACTTATGTGTTACCGATGTAACTTCAATCATTGAAAATGACAATAAAATAAAACATAATTTATTTGAAATAGACCATACAAAATGTGAAGCAAATATTCAAAAACTAACAAAATAAGAACTATTTGAGCTAATTTTATACTGATAGGTAACGATTCCGTCATTCAAGGACCATATCCACCACCAGGTCCGAATCCACCACTACCAGGTCCTTGGTTTTGTCCCTGTCCGCCGTTACCGCCATTTCCTTGATCTTTCATCATGTTTCCTACCATGCCTTTAAACTGACCTGGAACAAATTTCATCCATCCTGGTTCCTGACCATTTTCGCCACGCATTCCTTTTGGAATCATTTTCATAAAAGAACTCATTCCACCGCCGCCACCGCTACCACCTCCCATCATACCACCCATACCACCCATTCCACCAGCACCACCAGCACCGCCGCCTCCACCGGGCATCATTTTCATAAAACTTCCACCACCACCAAAAAATGCTGCAGACTGGTTGACTACCAAGAGAAGGCCAAGGGCCATCAGTATATGTGTATTCATCTTCAGTTCTGCTGATGGAGGTCTGAAATAGAAAATGATTATCACTATACAATGCAATTATATATATGCGTATTCATTGTGCAGTTCTGTTGCCAAAAGTAGCTCTGAAATAAATACGTATAATGCAAAACGTTAAGAAGGTTTAAATTTTATTATTACACTTCATATTAAACTAACAAATTTCTCAGCGGGTTACCTTTTTTTTTATTGTCATCCACCGGCTGAGAAGAACAAATTCATTTAACAGGCAATTATTTAATCCCAAATCAATATTTAACAAACAATGATAAAAATTTAAAAACAGTGTTAAATTATTTCAAGTTTAGACTAACATTATAAACTATTTTAAGGACAACAATAAGAAGACATTCAGTATAAAAAAATAAATAACACACACACCTGAGAGGGTGATAGCGCAGATTGTTACCCTTAAAAGACACTATAAACCCTAATCTTCTCGGGGTTACAACCTGCTATATCACACCCTCAGTTATGTGTTATTTATATAATGTTTTATATGCTACAAATATCAACAAAGTCTATAGAATTGAAAAAAAATATATGTAAATCGTATGTATAAATAATTTGATATAATATGTTTTGATAACTGATTTCTTTTTTGTAAGTTAGTATTCCTTTTTAGTTAGAATAGGTTGATTATCATGTACCAAGAATGGAATTGTATTATGCTTTTGAAATACTTGTATTTTTATCTTCTTCATTCAATTATTATTTTTTAACTTCACATCACGTAAGAAAATTAAACTTGTTCAACTTTTGCACTTTTAAAAAGCTTATTAAAATAAACAAATCTAGAAATTGAAAGCTTTATATGGCGCAAATAGTGATTACTTATTAATTTTGAAAAATGTAAAGACGTTAAAACATCCTGGTATACACACATAATAGTGAACTTTAAATTGTCTTTCTGACTTTTCACATGACTTATCTTGTGAAAAGGTATCAAGATAAATCTATACCTCAATAGTAGTTAAAAACAAAATGAACAATTTGTTGATTACTTCTATTCATAATGCAAAAATTAGAAATGAAATTTTCAACAAATTTCTACAAGGATTTCTTACCTGGGGTAATCTGGAGTTCTGAGGTCTGTTAAAACTTGTAGAAATATTTGTTTCCTATTTATACCAACGTCTCATTATATATTGCTACATTAATTATATCTTGTCGACAGATGGGCAGTATATATGTCGTTATCGCTAATGAAATATATGAAGGTTGAAAATTTATCACTATTTTTTTGTATATTATCCCGATTTTTTTTTTGTCTCACTTTGCGTTTTTAATTCAATGTCTTTGATTTTACGTATTATAATTTTTTTTAGAGATACTAATTTTTGTTTATTTACCAAAATAAAATATTGCAATATACGTAATATTTATTATACTTTTTAGTTATTGTATTAGAAAATAATTGAAATGAAATGGATAGCTGACTGAAGCCTATATACATCATCTAAAATACAAAGCAACAAGCAACATGACAAATACATCTTGGCGACGGTTTTGCAGTATATATATTGTTAGCACTAATGAAATATATGAAGGTCGAAATTGTATCTCCTAAACAAAGCAACAACCAACATGGCAAATATATAATGAAAATTATCTTAAGTTTAGACTGACAGATTCATATTCTTGAAATGCTATGGTATTCAATTTGTCATTGAATGTCTCTTTATCTGTTTGGCTCTAACAATTTCAAAGCATCTTTTCATCCATTCCCTAACTAGGGTGGTCTGTATGTATTAATAAATGTACATGTAAGAACAAACGATCATAAAAGTAGTCTACAATGATTCTCATGTTCGACAGCCTTCATCCCCTATTTACAATACTACTAAATTTAGATAAAGATTTTTAACTATATAATCTTATACATGTGTTTGTATTCCGATGGTATGATTAAAAATGTCTATTAATATTCAACAATCATTGATAAAGTTTACAAATAATAGTTAAATGAAAGTATTTAGTATCTATTAAATTAATAATGAAACAAAAGTCAATTTGCTTCAATAGTTATCAAAGTTTCCAGGATTATAATTTAATATTCCAGACACGCGCGCGCACAGTTATTAAGCCAAACAAGTTCAAAGTTGAAGAGCATTGAGGACCCAAAATTTCTAAAAGTTATGCCAAATACGGCTAAGGTAATCTATGCCTGGGATAAGAAAATCCTTAGTATTTCAAAATATTTCTATTTATTTATTTATTTATTTATTGATTGATTGATTAGTGTTTAACGCTACTTTCAGCACTATTGTGCTATTTCGTGGAGGTCAGTTTTTATTGTTTGAGGAAAACGGAGTGCCCGAACAGAATAAACGACCGTCGGTAGGAAAACTAAAATTCTAGTCAATTAAGATTTAAGTCGAGCGCACAACCTCAGCGATGACAGGCTTGAGATACAGTAGTATCGATTACTTAAATTGAGATACAGTAGTATCGATTACACTTGGCCACTGAGGCTCCTCAAAATATTTTTTAAGAAACAGTATTATTTTTTTTGGTCTAAATGAAGAGTTCCTTGACAGTAAAAAAGGTTGGAAGTTTTATGTTTGATATACTAAGACAGCTCTATGAAATCATACATTTTCTCGTATTTTATTCATACAAAGAGAAAATGAGTGAATATAAGAAAAGAAAGACACATTTACAGGAATAATATTTTTTTTATAAAAAAATAATTTTCTCTTTTGAAACTTTTGTTTAATTCCCTTAACTAAGTTATCTATGATATAAAAAAAAACATGCTGCGAAGATGTTTGCAACTCGTAGAATCTAAGTAACGGTCAATTTATAACTGTGTACATATCAGAACTCATTGTTGTCCGTTTTTCATTGAAATATCAGTAAATTTCCATGAATTCTGCATTTTACAATAACAATTTCACGAATGATATGAGTATAAAATTAATTTCAAATGTTTTTTTTTTAATTTATAACAACAAACGCAGTACTAGAATGGAAAGTTCATATTGAACGAAACAAATTGAAATTTTGATTAAATTAAATTTGAATTGCACCTCGTGGGAGTTTACGAAGGCTAACTAAAAGTTTGTTCTTTGCATTCCAGATTAAGAATTATCTGTGTTTAACTTAACGCCTTTTGTCAACCTCAATAAGGTTAATACTTTCTCATGTTAGATACCGATATAAACAATTTGACGGATCTTCTTAACCATGCTTTGGTCTCAAGGTTGGCTTGAGGCATGTTCCATGTGACACGAAACCTTGTTCAGATGTTTCAAATGACAATGAAATTCCAGTTAGGTGCGCCTCTCTTTCGAGTCTATAACAGTCCGGAGGCCTAACATTGGTTTACTTGTCACGTTAATAACAATAAAATATATGAATATGAATATTTTAAGTCAACTATTAATATCAAAAGTGTTTTATGAACTAAAAATCGTCACCAGTATAGTAACAATAACGAGAAACGCTAACTGAAATCGACACTCTCCGTCATCAGTTGATGTACACATAATTATGCTTCCGGACTAATACGTATGAACGAGTTGATCATTGTATAGACATGAGAAACACGACGGGTGCTACATGTAGAAATGGATCTGCCTACCCTTCCGGATCACCTGTGATCACCCCGTGTTTTGGTGGGGTTGGTGTTGATAAGTCTTTAGTTTTCTGTGTTGTGTTTTGTATACTGTTGTTTGTCTTTTGATCTTTTTCGTTTTTGCCATGGCGTTGTCAGTTTATTTTCGACTTATGAGTTTTTATGTCCCTTTGGTATCTTTCGTCTCTCTCTATCATTGATGCTATTTTTGACGTCCTATAAAACACGCTAATACGCATATTTTCAACAAAGAGACATATTTTCCATCAAGTCATTTATTTTACTGTGAAATGTAATAATGTAAAATTTTGTAATGTATAATTCTAAACATCAGATAATTTGCGTAGGAGTAATTATATAACATGTGATCTAGCTTTCGGCTACTGAGCAAGGATAATTGTCTCCAATTTAAAGAGAAAGGGCCGTCTTCTTTCCTTTTCCTGAGGATTGTTGATTATAATTTCTTTACTTGGTGTACTAAAACAAACCCTTCAATTGTGTATGTCTGTGTGTTACCAAGTAGATTAAATGACAAGAAATTCAACTCATAGTTCGGTTGTACATTTAAGCAAATATGCAAAGTTAATTGATTTTTGCGTTCAAATGCATTTGCGTCAGCGCGTGTGGGTTTCATAGCTGTGTAAACACACGTGATGTCTCTTCTCCAAACATGATTTATTAATCAGTTTTCCGTAGCTAATCATATTGTACAGAAGTTGAACAAAAACAATTATGTTTTCGTAAGGTGTTTACTTTGTACAAGTAATTTCATTGGGTTTCATGTAGGTCTGACATTTTATAAAGAAATTCCCGACTAGAACTTTACATTACTAAATCATACAATTAATTTCTATTCGGCTTTGAGCAAGACCTAAAAATAGTATACATCAAATATCAAGTGCCAAAAGTCTGCTTTTATTTAAAAATCATATTATACAGAGTAATGTTTATATTGAGTTCATACACCACATTTTTAATATTTCTTATTCTGATTGAGCCACTGATGCATAAAAGATCTGGCAATGTTACCAGTAGCATATCTCTGTACAATTCCTTGGTACTGTTTAGGGACGTATTTCATCCAAAATCGTGGATTACCATATCCTGACGACAAAATTCCTCCAAAACCACCTATTCCACCAATACCTGCTCCGCCGCCATATCCGCCATATCCACCGTGACCATATCCACTGCCAGCGTATCCAATGGGGCCATAACCAACGTGCGCTGCTATGTTATTGACTAATAATAGCACTGCTACGACCGCAAATGTACACTTGACGTTCATTTCACAACTGTGTTATGGATACTACAAAAGATTTATCAATGAATTGTAGTTATACTACATATTCAAGTTCCAATACGAATACATATTTATAAATAAAAAAAAACAATATTGTTACTCTTGTAACTAAAATTGGATATGGCAAGACAATTATTTTTTATTTTGCAATGAACCTAGCATTAGCTTTTTTTGAAACACACTTAAACACAGTATGATAACATGGTCGTTCAGCCTGACACTGCGTTTACAGCGTTTATTAAAATACAAATTTATTCACGTTGCTATTCAAAATATTGCAAAAAAATCAACCAAATATTGTATATTTCAATTCTACTATATGATATCGCTAATTTATTTATTGTTTGTCTTGCTTGCAAATGTATAATTATGTAATTGTTAATGTATAATTGTTATCCTCTTGTAACACCATACGTGTGTCTAAGTTGTAATACATTGTCTTGTCTTTACTTGTTTTGTCTTGTCTTGGCAAGCCGTTTTGCCAAAACTAGTACATTTACGTCTTTTTCGGAAGAAAAAAATTACACACGGAAAATAATCAATAAAACATGCTGAGATATAATAAAAATAACCAAACAAAAATAAACTTAAAAACAAACACTAAGAATTACAAGTTAATCTTTTAGATTTAAGAAAAAACACATTGAGATCTACAAAAAAGTGCATTGAACCCCTTATGATTTTTTTCCTATGAAAAGTAGAAGAGGGGAAATATTATTACCAGAAGAAGTTTCAAAAATCTTGTTTTGGAATGTAATTGCAAATGTATAGCTGGTTTTTTTTTTATTAAAGTACAAAAAAAATTGTTAGTACCAAGAAAGAAAAACACATTTTGAAAAATATCGTTTATCCTTATTCAAAACAATTTTCGAGTTAACTTTTAACACTGCAGATTTGAAAACAAAAAAAGGTTTAGTTTGTGCGACAGATAGAAAAAATATAACGACTTACAGTGGGGGTATGCATACAAAGAAATATTTCACGAAGACATCAACATAAATCATTATTATTTCTGCTTTGTATCGATCTGATGAGTTAAGATCTTTTCAATTGATTTTTTTTGTTTGTTCTTATGTTGTACTGTTACACCACTGTCCCAGGTTAAGGAGACGGTTGGTACCTTCAAACTAGTTTAACCAAGCCACATTCTGTATGTGCCTGTCCCAAGTCATGAGCCTGTAATTCAGTGGTTGTCGGTTGTGGCTGTATATTATCATATTTGTTTTTCATTTTTTATTTTGTACATAAATCAGGCCGTTATTATTTCTCGTTTGAATTGTTTTACATTTGTCATTTTGGGTCATTTTATAGCTGACTATGCGGTATCGGTTTTGCTCATTGTTTAATTCCGTACGGTGACCTATTGTTGTTAGTTTCTATGTCATTTGGTCTCTTGTGGAGAGTTGTCTCATTGACAATCATACCATATCTTCTTATTTCTATATATGCATGGATTGCAAATATCGTGGTAAGAAATTCATACGACGTCAATAATTCGGCATGTTCAATTATTTCAGATAACATATATTTTTGTTTTCTAATCAGAAAGAAATATGGAAAACGTGAATAGCAAGAATATTAAGATTAATCATGATTTGATATATATGTTGCGGTTTTTTAAAATCCGTCAGTATATAGGAGTTACCAGATACAAATATAAAGCTAGGGCCAATGTAAACTATTTTAACCTCACAAATAAATCATTTTCAAAACTCGTTAAAAAAGAAAAACTTTTAAGATATCAAAAGAACAAGGTATTGCGTAGCAAAATTTTAAATTAAAGCTTGAATGTGACATATATCTTTTTAAATAAACGAAGAAAGAAAATTCGTCCAGTGCCCTAATGGATAAGTCAAGAGTATTGTCCGAACATTTTCATTAACTGTCCGCAATGACAAGAAGTGTTGAAATGTCTACATACGGTTTATTGGGTGGAACCATTCCCTATAAATAAGAGGTTACACTATATCTTACATATAGCTATTCAACTCGTGCATACAAATGTTTCGGAATATGCATATGTAGTTTGAAATAGAGATTTTATCAAAATTATTAATACGAGTAATATTGTAGCATTTTACTTTTTTCAAAATCAAGTTAGAGCATATGCTGAGTTGCAAGGAGTAGTAACAGTTAAAAAATATAAAAAGAGGAAAGAGATAAATATAGAAAATCAATACTATGAAACTAGACATAGAAATTATTAAAAAGAAAAAGATAAACAGCTATCTGCATTTATTTTCTTATATGTTTGAACAATATATTTCAAATATTCTTACCTGTTCTGCCTGGTTTGAAATGAGGAGATGATAGCAATGGAACATTTATCATGCACTTATATAGAGATAACAAGGGAATATTTTAATAATTAACTTTGTGAACGTGAAGTGATAGAAAATCATGAAAAATTAAAAAAAAAAAGAATAAACAATCTATCAAATTGTGAAACATAGGTCTTTCTTAACCTTTTTTTTTTATTTCGACCTGATTTTTTTCAAATGATGCGACAATGTGATGAAAATTATGGCAATCATTATCAATCTTTTTTAAACTAAGAATTAGAGCAAGAATTAATCAGAATTCTTACATAAAATAGCAGTCCACGTGTTAAAAATGTGCTTTATTCTGTACGTGTTTGTCTTTAGCCTGAAATGCAGTGATTGTCGTTGGTACTGTAAATTATATTTGTTGTTCGTTTATTATTTTGTACATAAATCAGGATGTTTTGGTTGTCTTCTTTGTTTGAATTGATTTTTTTAGTTTTTTTTTTTCACGTTGGGGTCTTTTATAGCTTACTATTAGGCTTTTCCAGTGGTAATGATAATATTTACGCTACAATTTTTTTCTGCACCAGAAGCGCATTTAGACAATAAATGTTTCTTCAGTGATGCTCGGAGCCAAAATATTTCAAAATCCAAAACTTGTTAAAGAAATGAAGAAAAATATAAACCGAAAAGAAAAAAAGGTAAAACCATGCCGGGCAAGAAATCAGAGCTTTGCATGAGGGAGATATATTCATTAATTGCAAATGGCTTAACTCAATAGATCTGTATGAGACATAAAAAATTCAACTAACATAAAACCATTAGACAAAAAGCGACGATATTAGAAAACTCGTAGTTACCACTAGTAATTGAATTTTAGTCTGAAAGGTTCTGTTGGTATTGATATAATCTGAAAAGTCTGAACTTAAAAACGGTAAGACTTGCTTAGAGTTTTAGTAATTTTTCATACATTTTAACATTGTAATTTTAGTTCTGTTCAGACAGTTCGCTTGCAGTCTTTCTCGAATTGTTCAGTAGCTTTTCAGACAATAAAGTACGTACGTGATGAGTACAGGTAAATAACAACTACGTAATAGTCTGAAAATACACAGAACAGATTTTACTGACTACAAGTGTTATGTACGAATTTACCGCAGTGGATACGTCTACAAATTAACTGAAATACTGAACATGACTCATTAATTTATTGTTCACTCTTTTAAGACATTTTCAGATTAAAATTACAGTTCCAGTTTAAAATCGATATATTGGTGTAATGAAAGCTAGTTCAGAGCATATTAAAAGTGATAAATATATCATGTTCTCTCAGACTAACATATTATGTTATCAAGAAATTACCACCTGGTTTTCCATTTGTCGTAACAGATATTAACATAATGATAATGATTTATCTTTTCCATTCTTTTTTATTACTGTTTAACAAACTAATTTATATAAATATCAAGTCTTTAAATAGTCGGTTTCTTATAAAAAAACAATAATTATAAGACAAAGAGAATAATTGCTGTCAAACATGACGTTTGTTTTAGGGTTTTATTCGAGATAATTTCATTTTTATAGTTGATTAAATGTGTATATGACATGCCTTACACAAAACCGTTTGTACTATTAAGAACATTTGTACGGATTTGACCACATTGTGAACTTTTACATCTGATGTACTTTCCTTGATCCTGATAACTGAGACATTTAAGTGCATCTATAAGTTTAAGGAGCAGATTAGAACAAGTCACCGACCATTCATCTTTTGTGATGGTAGTGGGGGGGGGGGGTCATTTTGTTCGATTCAATATTTATATTAAAAAATATTGTTTTTAAAGTTCTTATCATTGAAAATTAGGCGGGAAATAAAGATCGCAATGAGTGACAAACAATATGTTTCTTGTTTCTGTATGCAAACTATGGCTGTAATACCTCAAGATTGTTTTGGACTTTTAGTTGTAATATTTTGAGGGCTTAGAAAATTGTGTAAGTTTGGTCATATGCATATGAGAGAGAGAAAGAGTTCATTGAAAATCTTTCTTCAATTAGGAAAACCTATACCGTTTAGTACAAGCATGACTCTACCAGGAGGCAACAATTTAATCTTAACAGGATTTAGCTTCTGTGAAATGAATATTTCTTGATAAAATAAATTTCTAGACCCAGTGGGAAAATATATCTCTTCCTTAAAGATAAATAGCTGCTCTTTAATCTTTAAACATGAGGTTTTGCGTTTTATAAATTAAGAAGGCTGCAAACTATGCACAAGTCATAAGGTTGACAACAATACTAATACGTTATTTCCAAAGAACATACATCTTATAGGCATATTTAACAAAAAATATTATACCTCGTTTTGTTAATGATTTTAACAAATGTATGTCGTTTTATTTTTCAAACCTTTAAGAGTGAAGGAATTAAGTTTTGGAGATACTACATTTGTTCTCCAGATTATTATTTTGAAAATGTCATATTGATTTATATTTGGAAATAAATCAGGGAATTTATGTGTTTTTCGTTTTTGCATTTCTAGTATGTCTGCTACTACATTAAGAAAGCAAAAGCAATTTTGAATCATTTCGTATTCAGAGTTTAAAGCATTCTGGATAATATTCTTTGACGTAATAAAAACGTTTCTAATGAGATATCAACGTCGACAACAATTATGTTTTGCTGATTCGCACGCGTCACTTAGGAGTGAGAGCAAAGACTGGTCGGCCCGGAATCAGAATAATGTGTCACATGGTTACACACCTTCCTGTGAATTGTCACATTGTGAACAAGCACGTTAAAAATTCGGTTAAGTGTGTATGTCTAGAACGAAACGGGGTTCAAATTCATATGCCATTAACACATTCTCGTCTTGAATATGTATTTTACTTGACACTTGACGTTAAACAGCCAATCATCATCATCATCACCATCGTAAACAAAGGATATCCAGTCTATGCAGTGGTGGATCCAATATTCTTATAAGGACAAACTGATTTCATAGTGTTTAAGCACTCTTAGTTAGATCATGACGGTCAGTTTTTATTGACCGAGGAGGAAGCCGCAGTATCCGGAGAGGACTACCAACCACCAGCAAGGAAACTGTTTATCCCATTTAATTTTAATTTCAGTCGAATGCACCTTAGTACTAGCTGGGTTCGTACTCACAACTTCAGTGTTGACTGGCCATGTTTCACTTAGATGAATTACTTAGGCTAGTCGGTCATCGACATACCCTTAAAAAGGGGGCCCACCGCAAAAAAAGGAAAGATTTGACACGAGTGTTCGTAGACCAATAACGTTATTTCTTTAATTTTGTTTCGTATCAACAACTGACCGGACAGCCTTAACCTATTCATTATAGAACCGTTTAAAAGAAATAATTACAAAATAAATGCTAGGATTTCTATAATATAACAAGTTGTGTAGTGTTGCCATACTTCAAAGAAAGGAGTTTTACACCAGAGCTTGTATGTATATTTAATCGTTTAATTTGGCTCAGATTGGTAATCACACGCAAAATCCTCCGCATTCGAGGCTAGTTCTTGACGTCTGAAGCGAATTCGAGTTAAAAAGTATTAAACGTTATAACTGAAAACCAAATTATAACCGAAATCAAGCAATCACAATTTTTCAATAAAACATACCGGTCTCGAATGGGAATTCACAGAATGACGTGATGTTGCCTAATTATTGAGCATCAACGATGAAATTATCCATCATCCTTTACTTCTAAAATCCCGAAATGGGGATGATGCTCGTATGTTTCTTGATCCTTTATCTTTTATAAGTAATCAGGTAATAGAACGAAACACAAATTTTGAAATAGCGAAAATGACGTGTAAAATTATTTTTCCATAAAAAGCCAATTTGAGTTCATTTGTATAGTCATGAAATTACAATTTAGTTTCACATCTATCGAAGATCTATTAATATAATTGGCATTCCAGTTTAACTCCTTTATATCATCATTAAGTCTTATATTTGTCTATTTCTAGACAAAATACCATAATTATATGACAACATGATATATATAATACATAGCATTTGCTGTAATACAAGATTAGTATTTTTGTTTTTTGTGATAGTATCCTTCTGATGGGCAACCGAACACAATTTTCAAAGCCTGTTTGTATAACTAACAATACATGTATTGATTGGACCATTGTGAACTTAGACATTGTATTTACTTCCCATGACCCGCTTATATATATAGTAATGATCGTAAACTGAAGGGTTTTGGGTCGATCTGATGTAACAGCAAACCTTTGTTAACTGATGTTTAACGTTTGCTGTTACATCAGTGTTCAATATTTGAGGGAGGGTTAAACAGTCTAAAAAATGTCAGAGCCCTCCGCATTATTCATGTGCATATAATAAGTCAGTGGCATGTGTTTTCATTAACTGTTTTTTACATTATTCAGGACGTTTCGTTTTGTTTCTCGTTTAAATTGTTTTACATTTTGTTTTTATTTTCGGACATTTTATAGCTTACTCTACGTTGTGGCTTTTCGATGGCTAAACAGTGACATATACTTGCTTATATGTAACTATTTATATTTTTTATCTTAGGTGGATAGTTGTCTCATTGGGAATCATACCACATTTTTTTATATTGTATATGTTCAGGCCCAAGATCCTATATACATGCCAGAAAGCAGGCAAATTGCTAGTTGAAAGCAGAAGGTTAATTTTTTTCTATGAATCCTAGTTCCACTTTCAAACATTTCTCCAATCTTTACTAAAATTCACAGTTTATGTTTACTTTGTGTGAATTATATTATGGGATATTTCTGAATATTTAATCAGATTATAAAAATGTCTGCAGATGGTTAAAAACTGAATTTTTGTTTGATTTTGCAATTTTTGGACAAATTGCGTAATAACTGATGAAAGGACGGAAGTAAAGCTATACCTTGTCGTTCAAATGATTCGATTATTTGATTTTTACGCTGCTTAAAATGACATTTGATCGAAAAGTTTACATTACATATTAAATAAAGGATATAGTTTTTCTCTTTTGTTTCGCTTTTAATCAATTAAAACGTTTTTGTTAATTTTACCAGCAAACTATTGACGGTA